CGGCCGCCAGAGTCGAGCGAAGTTAATTTTAAGTAATTACCAGCAAACCATCTATAGTAAAATTAAACTTAGAATCCTCTCGCACAAAAGGTGTTTGAAGCAGTTTCGTAGAACTGCTCGTTGGCTCTCTCTTCCAGGATTTTCTTGAGAAGCAAATGTAGGAAAAACAGAGTTACTTACACTTCAGGGAACTTAACTGGATCGTTTTTAATTTTCTTATGCAGCGCAATCACATATGCATCCCAAAACGGCACATTTCCGTAAACCAATGCGTACAGCGTAATACCAAGCGACCAGATATCTTGAGCACGACCACTGTAGAAATACGACGAATCTTCTGGAAAACACATTACTCTTCAACTTCTAAAATATTTTGCTCCTTATTTGCGCTTTTGCATTGATTCGGCTTCAGGATTGCAAAAGTTGAAATTTCCGAGCTGTTCTGTGCCAAAGATCTAACATAAATTTACATCTTTCTCTTTTTCAACGTTCTGGCCTCAAGTACATAATTTCGCTTATAATTTTGCTTAAACTCAATAAGTAACTTAGCCCTCAATACTAAATGTATACTTCAACTGTAGAACCAAGAAAATAAGCTGGAAACCAGTTCCAAACAAAGCGAAATCAGGTCCTAAACCTGACTGTGTCTTTTCTTATGACCTGAGTCGAAATCCTGGTTAGTTTTAGGAGAAAAAGTGTAAAAAGAGCAATTCCCACCGCCTTCCAAAATTAAACAAAGTTAGTCTCCTTTCCAATATTGGGCGCAAAAATTTGAAATGCTCCGTGCAAACAATTTCAACAATGCTTTCTTGATCGTAAAATTTATTGATTGGCTCTCAAAGGAATTCAAAACTTCTCATAGATTCGAAGCCATCTTTGCTTGAAAAATTATCTTGGAAAAAAAAAAATAAACCAGTAAGAGCTTCAGGAGCCATGAATGCTGGTGTTCCAGCGGTTCCAGACAAAAATGCATCAATACCTTCAAATTCACACGAAACGCCAAAATCGGCTATCTGGAAATTTGAAATCATCAATTTTTTCAGCCACTTCTCAGTTATTCTGTTTGTTGGGCTATAGCTAGTCCCAACGAACTTGTTACCATAACCAAATGCCTTAGTTCGTTGTGAATACCCCATACTGGCTTCCACAATCATATGGGATTAATTTGCTTTTCAATATGGATTGAAAAAGATTTAAATTTTTCATCTAATGGTTTGACCAGGGTTTCATCTACTAGAACGAAATGAACGTCACCTTGCCCTTTAAATAGTGCAAAACATTTGTAGAAAATCTTGAAGACACCTTTAAGTGCTTCTCTATAAAACTTCTATGTGGATGTCATTACTTTTTAGAGCCTGTCTGAACATTTTTCCTCCTCACATGACTACCACTTATTTGCTTGATGAGTCTCGATGACCACTGATCATCAATGAAGTAAGCAACATGTCCCGCTCATTGTATTTTGCTGCATGATCAAAACAATTCTGGTATTGCTTCATAAAAATCTGGTAAATCTTTTTCACCCCTGTCATTATCGCTTACATTGGATCCTCTTTCAGGCGGCTTCGTTATTTTTCAGCAAAATTATTCCATTCACAAGGCCCAAGCGGCCATGTGCTTATACAAGGTCTCGTTTTTTGTAAACAAGTTAGGCAGAAGAGTGATAAGAGAAAGCATCTGAATTTCATTTGAGAGGTAACTGTTAACAATATTATGTGAAACAGAAAAAAAAAGAAACTAGACCTTGACGTGACCTGTCTCTGATAATAGCAAATTTGATGGTTTTAGATCGCGGTGCACTATTTTCTGGTAGTGTACTGCAAAATTTAAACAACTTTATCAATGTGATCAAGATAGTTTGGAAAATACATGCGAAAATTAGTAGTTTATACGTTATTACATAAGAGCACACACCAAAACCATCTAGACCAAACGCATTGGCCTCAACTGAAAGCCTTCAGTTTTTGTAGGTCCGTTTTTACTAGTACGCACGCCATTTCTCCTATATTTCCAAACAAAAAAAAA